TACACCAACTGGCCCAGTAAAGCCCCAGACCCCAAGCTGCTCACTACAGATACCTGTGTTACCACCAGGGTGATTGACGGAGTGTGGCACCTGTCACGGTGCACCGAGTGCCTCGGCTTTGTCTGCAAAACCATCTCAGGTAAGTTGAATCGGGGGCTGTATTTTTTACATTTATTCTTAAAGAATATTTTAACTCATTTTTTACACATGTGAAAGGTATAGTTCTCTATGAATCAAACACAGATACAATGTGGACAAAATTGCTGGAAATTCCAATTAACATAAAATGGTAAAAATAAGGTTTTCATATACCGATTATTTTGATAATTGTGTCATCTTAATGTCTTTATTTTTACTGTATATCCATGCCTCCGTAAAGCATTTTCACCCGAAGAGCTTTCGAGAAGTGACGTCAGCGCACATTGTCTTCTTACCTCGTTTTCTGAATACCCAAGATGATACATGATAAGTTATATCAAACTTCACTGGATGTGCTCTTTTGTAGATGCTGTTACTGAGGTGGAAGTGGAACCACTAAACGGTAAAGTGCACCATTATTTGAATGATTTAAACACTCGTGACACATTTATTGTGTGTCCTATAGGTGCCATAAGCATGAGTGCATTGTTTCGTACTATGAGGCAGTGAAGATACAGTTTATGATTAAACATGCTAAGAGTGACCGATCTGTGATATAATGTGATGCATGATACAAACATATATCTATATTTATATCTTTATACATGTAATTCGATGAGGGAGGCATCATACCACCCTTTAAAACAAAGGTGTGACTACATAGGAGCTATCATGTTGTGTGTTTCAGGTTTACATCATGGTGTCATTGCCGCTGCAGTGCTGGTGGCTGTGCTGATCTTTGCTCTGCTGGCAGGAGCGATGTGGTTTGTGTACAAGAGGAACTCTGCGCGTTTTCGTGGGATCCCTATGCTGGGCAGCGCTTACTACAGACAAACCAGCTCCCAGGCTTTAGAATCAGACGGAAACGTGCTGATCACAGACCTGGAGGCTCACTCAGGAGAATAGCACTCAGTGACTGTCTTTCTTATTTTAAAGTCTCTGTTGTCCTCGCGTTCTCTGTCTGTCTCTCACCATTTCACCATCAGGTATGAATGCCACATGACACTGTAAAGCTGTGACACTGACTCCTCAGGACAGTGGTGAGATGTTGACGGCAATGTTTTCTCTCTTAAATATGAGAGGGTGTTAGAAGGATCCCAGTTGCTCGCTACAGTTTTCCTTTCTGCGAACCATTTAAATGAGACACATTTTTGCGAAGATATTTGTTGTGTTGACACTGAAGAGTCCACATTTGAATTTCTGTTGTTTGAATTAAGACTAACAAAGTTCACATAGATGAGAATATTGACGAAGGGATGCTAGAGAGCATTAAACATGTTAAAAGAGGTACTGAACACTTAATGTCTGTTATAATCCTGCGGTATGAGGATTTCATCAATTATAACTGGTAAACACTATATAGAAAAAATAATTTGAATAATAAGGACTTCTAAGAAAATCTACCTGTCAGGGTCAAAAGTAACTTTCATTGTCATAAATAAGAGGCAGATTGATGACAAAAAAAGAAATCACACAAATTATATTTGTGATGTAATTTTGTACATTTCATTCAGAATCCAGGAAATGTTGGAGTTGTATATGTGGTACAGCAGTTTTCTCAGTATTACTTTTGTATTTTTATTGTATTTTTTCTAAATATACTTGCTGTATATTGATAAGAGGTTTTTTTTTTTTTTTTTTTTTTGTATATTCAAAACTGGAAAACAGAAAATGTCTGACGCATAATTAATGATTTGGATTTCTCTTTTTCACTGTTGTCCGCAGATGCAAAGCAAATTATGATATGTATTTTGCACAGCTGTCTTTGTGTTAATAAATTGAAAACAAGCCTAGCTGATTAATTAATTTGTTTATTTGAGTGTCCCGCATCATAGGCTCCAGACAGCAACAGTAACTGGGATGGCCACATGACTAATCACAATATACAGCTCCAGAAATTCGAAAAGAGAATGTTTTGACGGGTGCCTCGGTGGCTCACCTGGTAGAGCGCGCACCTTTTAAGGCTTAGTCCTCGCCCTCTCTCTCTCTCACTGAATTTCCTGTCTATCTCTCACTGTACTCTCCGGATAAAGGCAAAAATTCCTTAAAAATATAATTTAAGAAAAAATGAGAAGATTTAAGAACATTCAATTTGCATGGAAAAAATGCCTTATACATACTGACACAGTGGTCTCTCTCTAAATTTTATATATGGTACGATGGTAACAGTCCAAGTTTTATCAATGAGTCTTGCTATGTGAATAACAGAGAAGTCTCAGAAAGAGGAAAGCCTTAGTGTAATCCTCCTTCTCCTTTTCCAGTCTCACTTTCTACTTCACCCTTTTAGTCTAACAAGACAAGCACGCGGGATGACCATTATTTGCTATTTCCTCCTTGTACATCCTCATTACAAAATAACTGCAGTCAAAGAATATTTATATCACTGATATCTATCCTTGCACTTTCTAAAGTATACCCACCTAGGTTTTGCATGGTAAAATGTTTGCAATTTGGGTCCTTTGGAAGTTCTGGATGCTCCTTTTGGATTAATGTGCTGTATCATTGATGGAGAGTGATGCAAGAATACTACATGCCTGTTTGTGTCGTGCCAACAATACAAATTGCCAGGATGTCTGGCATTTTTATAGAAAAGTCTAATGAAGTGACAATAAAAGAAGATTTATGTGAAGACTAACAACCAGATAGATTTGAAACAAGACTACTCTTAGGCCTAATATGTTTAGTTTTTGGTGGCCCGATTAAAGGTGAAGTCATATATAGACTTTGTGCGTCACTGGAAGATAGTATTACTGATGTGATAAGAACAAGTAGATCATTCTTCTTTTATTTTCAAATGAGAAAATTTATCTTTGTTGCCTGAGTATTATCTTTGCTACTGTATCTGTTGAAACAATGTCTCACTGACTCACATCACTGTCAAGACTGCAAGCATTGTCTTTGTGGAAATGATGAGATTGTAGGGCTTTCTGAGATAATATAATTATGACATAATGTTTTGTTGATCTCAGTAAAGCCATTAGATTGCCTAAACAAGGCTTTCAGTGTTTGGCAGCAACTAACAGTGGACAAATGAGAGAGCAAAGGGCAGCTATTGGCAGTTTCTCTGACAGTACCTGACATCAGGATATTCATGCATTAATAATTTATAAGTGCTGTTATGTATACATATAGACCATAACAGCTGCTGTGCTTGCAAATAGAGAGAAACGCTCCTCAGTCAGTTGTAAAGGGGACTTCAACTGGTGAAAGGGAAACACAACATTTACATGACGGAAACTACCCAGTGGGTGTGAAGGGAGTAAATGAACAACATACCCTGGCTATCAGAGTGTAACAGAGAGAGCGTGAAGGCAGTTCACCAGCACAGAGACAGAAAATGCAAATGCAAAACCGGAACAAGCAATTTAGCCTTCAAAATGAAAGTGTACAAAGTCAAAATTATGAGCTATTAACTAATTTATGACTAAATTATTCTTGACTTGTATGTCATAATTTTGACTTAGTATCCTATAATTTAATCATAACCAACAAAACAGCCACCATTACAAAACAACCAACCCCCACCATTAAACAAACCTGATACAAAACCACAAATTGAAAAGTCTCAATCCCAGTGTAGCCCAACAAAACCAAAAGGTAGCCCACACAAACAAACTGGAGTTTTCTCCCCAACCTAAGCTGACTCACATACAATTATGTGAGCTCAGCCTTAGTCACCAGGCAGCTACTGATGGACGATGCTTATTCACTGGAGATCAATGTCTCCAGAAAGTCCCTGCTATGCAGTTACCCTCAGAAAGGCATAGATGTGATGCCAAACGTAGCTCTACCCACTTTCATTGCCACTTTGATCAAGTTGCAACAAACCAAAATGCACAATGGAGTAACACTTACCAAATTTAAACCAAAACAGAGAAAAGAGGAGTAGAATTTCGCAGAAGATGCACACTACACTCATGTATGATACTTCCCAGATCCATTTTCCCAGAGACTGCAGTTTTGAAACCATACCAAAGCAAATAACAACCCCCCCCACCCCCCCCCCCCCCCCCCCCCCCCATAGCCACAGGAGGCAGCACAAAATAAAACAAACAGGGTCAAATTACCACTAACACTAAACTTCATTGTACCAAAAACTTTAATTCTATCCAGGACGAGCCAATTTGTCACAACCTCGCTCCAGGCTGCACAAAAGAGGGAAGACCACACATGCGTTATAAACACATAGATAAAAAGAATTAGATCGATACATTTTATTTAATATTTCAGAATTTAAACTTGGTATCTCACATCAGTTTTATTTTTTAATTTAGTATCCTCAAAATTTGACTTAGTAGGCTATCTCATTGTTTTGACTCAGTAACTCTTTTTTTTAGTCGTATTTTTGTCTTAGTATCTCATATTTTTTGACTTTTGACAGTTATGTCGTCGCTTTAGTTTAGTGTTTTTTTTGTTTTGTTTTTTGACTTTGAAAGTTATCATTTTGACCTTGTATCTCGCTTTTTGCTCGATTCAGCGCTATAATTTTGACATATTTCAATTTTAATATTATTTATAAAAATGTTCATTTATTTATTTATTAATTATTATTATCTTATATTTAATTTTTTTTAATTAATCGTTATGACTTTTATTTTAGTTTTAATTAAGTTTTTATTTTTGGTTAGGTATAATTTTAGCTCCTTATTTTTGATTTAGTAGGTCATTATTTGGCTTATCGCAGATATTAGTACTTTTTATAGTGCATAACTTTTCATTATTATAGCTTTTTCTGTCGGCAGTCGACTTTATTTTGTAAGTCAAACCGGAAGTGTCCTTCACTTCTGGCTGGCACCGACGGGCACTCTGGACGAACCAGCTGACAGCTGAGAAGGACTGGGTTGGGTTGGTTACCTGATCAGTTGTGGTTGTGCGCTCAATCATCGGTCGCTCAGTATTCACTGCTCAACACTGCGGGAGGGCAGATTCTTTATGAATCCGACCAAAAGACTCTGCTGGAAACATGCTGAAATTAACGGAGGCGACACTTTGCCTTTGTTTGTTGACTGTGTTGGAGACAACTGTTTTCTTGGGAACTTGCTCACCGGCTAGCAGAAAAGGCTTTGGTAAGTAGCTAACTCAAGCTCCCAAAGTTTGCTTTTGTTTCTTTCTCACTTATCATATTTTCGACCATGACTAAGCCATTTCTGCCACTCACATTTGCCTCAGCTGGATAATAACAACTTCGTCCACTGAAGCGCGACATGACTCCCAGGACAAGCGCTAAGGTCCTTTTAAACTACAAGTGGTGGCAGATACAAACCCAGTAGTTCATTAGTAGTTTGATAATGACCCCATCCCCCAGTGAGTTTCATGCCAAATCATATTCTGACAGGTCAAACAAATTGCATACTCATCCCTCCTTCCTCATAGTTCTGTGTATGTCATGTGTTACATCTGTATTCAGCTCCCCTATTATGTAGCCTAGCTGCTGTTTATGTTCAGTAAAGTGAAGCTGTAATATGAGATTGTTTTCTATTTTCGAAAGCATGTGTGGGTAAGTACTGTCACTATCTGTTTGCTTCATATTTTGCTGTAACCACTCATAACTATTTATCCATGTTTATTATATGTCCCTACTAACTCTATACTTTTTCTTTGTTTATGCAGTTATATATCTTATATGAAATGTATTTCCTTGTATGAAAAAAACCTGACATTAGTCAAATTTAAGTATAATGACTGGAATCAGCCCTATAAAATACACATCAAGTGTTCAGGGATTTTTTAAATTTTATTATTTTGGCATTGGCAATACTTGTCAAGAATACAGAAACTGGGTATTAAAATGACTAATGTAATGGGCTACATTTAATAGGCCCACATGTTATGTTGTGTATATTTTTTCACTATTTTACATATTGTTTATATTTAAGTCAGTTTCTATAGTTAGGTTTATGTTGTAAGAATGTAGACTCCACCCACCGTAGCTTAAAGCTGATAGTGGCACATTTAATAAATGTAGTTTGCAGTGAATTTGAAGTTTGACTCCACTTCCTTGTAGCTCCCGAGCAGCCGGGAAGCCAGGGCATCTGGTTGATAACAACAGGTGAACCCCAAACATGGACCAGTCATATACCAGGTTTATACCTAGTACTGTTATAATTTTTGTTTGTGAAATTTCTCCTACATGGCCTAAAAAGATCACACAAACTCCAGAGCCCAATCTAGATCTTTCAGCAGATGTCAAGGTGAAGTCAGTCATATGTTTTTTTTTTAACTGAGGTGTTTTCTGTCTGTCCCATCATCACAGATGAAGATGCTTTCACCATCCAGCACTCAAGCACAGGGAAGTGCCTGGAGACAGACCTGAACCTCAACACCTGTGATCCAAACAGCAAATCCCAGCTGTGGAAATGGGGTATGGGTCACCGGCTCTTCCACGTGGCCACGTCCCACTGCTTGGCTTTGGACGTACGCTACAAGACACTGTCCCTGATTGACTGTGGCAGCGACGTCCTGCTGCGGTGGCAGTGCCTGGATGGGGCTGTTTTCACTGCGTATCAGATGGGCCTGGCGGCCAACAAAAGCAAAGTTGTAGCCAAACGGGACCCCAGTGATGTGTGGGTGAGAGGAGGTTCCCAGGACAACATCTGCCAGAAGTCATACCATGGTGAGTGTGGTTTTCTTTCTCTTATCTGATAGAGAAAATGCTTACAAAGATCTCATCATAGCCACAAGCCCATGCTCCGGGCAGTCCATTATGCTGCTCTGAGGATTGACTAATGCTTGAGGAGGTTTTCAGTCAAGGAGCGAAAATGCAGTTTGTGTTGATTTTAACACATTACATTCTGTCAGAGGATCCACTTCCTCAATTGAATGTGAATTAACTCCAACCTTGTGATGCATTACACCCTTGTGTGGCCATGTCTTAGCTCTGTTGGCATTTGTGCCACATGATAAAACAGGTTCTGGTACATTTTAAACAGCACTCCTGGTGGTTTATGGTCATTCCCATCAGTTATTCCCCCTGAAGCCAAGTAACAACACGCTGTGTCAAATTAAGGAATATGACTTCTCTGAAACCTGATTAACTCAGACTGAAAACACTGTCTTTTGAATTTGTGGGGAATTCCTTTGCTAGTGCTTTATGATTGTGCATTTGCAGGGTTTGCAGAAGGGTTTTGTGGTGAAGTGACGCATAAAAGCTCTCAGTTTTGCTTCATGGTTTGTTTGTTTCATGCTACCCTGAAACATATGTTGAATTGTTAGGAATTTGCAATAAATGTATACTTTTCTGTATATTACATTCAAAATTATCTACAAGTGTAGACAGGGAAAGTTTCACTGCTGAATAATATTAGATCATGCACATTTTTAAAATGAGAGTGGTTTTTTCAAGTAAAACAGCACTTGTTTAGATGTATATCCAGATGACCCAGAAAAATAGTTTTGTATTTTTTCTTTTAATAAAGCATAAATTAAAAAGGAAAAAAACTGAAATGGAAAGGCTCTAGAGTGGTGTAAAGATGCATCCTCATGCTGCTTTTCTTAGCTATTTTAAATCTAAGATTTGGACTTGTCAAAATTCAAATAGTATTCCCTCAATAACAATTTATTTCTCTTCCATCACTTTCTGTCTGTGAAACAACAAACTCACATTGTCACATATTCCACGATGTATTCTGCACCAGGATGATTTAATTTCTTATTTCACTCACTAGTTTTTTCTTGAAGAACGTTATTTCTCCTTTTTCACATTCATTCCATTGTTTTTTTGTTTTTTTGTTACCAATATACAGGATCTGAACACTGAACTATCTGTGTCTAATGGTCTACTGGCTTTGTGGTTTTATTGCCCTCAATATATAAAACCTTCTTTTCCAACTAAGTTGTCCAACAATTTTTCATACGAAACACTTACTTAGTTTGTTTATCCTGAGAAGAGGAAGTGTTTGGTGCAAGGAACAAAACACTTGATTTCACTTTCAGCATGGTTTTGGTTTTTTCCTTAGAAATGACTTAGTAGTAGAAGCTTGAAGTAGGTCTTTGTCTGTGCTCTCTGCTCACCTCTCTTCTCTGTGCAGTTGTCCACACCACCAATGGGAACTCTGCCGGCGGTCCCTGTGTGTTCCCCTTCAAATACAACAGCAGCTGGCACCACGGATGCCTCCCTGACACAGATTTCCCTGGACTGTCCTGGTGTGCCACCTCCTTGGACTATGACCAAGATGGAAAAAAGGGACACTGTCTAACACCTGGCATGTTGCACTTTATTTTTTAAAAACATCAGTTTCATCATTTTTGGCCCTTTTACTTGACGAGACATCGAATATGGAGACATTCAGCTGCCTATTTTTAAAATGATGGTATCACTTTAAGAGAATCAACATTTGTCTCCAAATGTAGCAATTGTGATATTGTTGACCTAAAATGTCTGTTAGGAGCTGATTGTGTGCAAGTTATTTTCTCTTTTTAATTCATTTTTCTCTTTTTGATAAAAGACAATAAAATACATCCACCGTTTACACAACTGAATAACACGCACAGATGCACATGCTCACACAACTCACACGGTCTCTTTGACTTTGCAGAGGAGGGATGCCAGACTCTGTTTGCCGGGCCAGAAGGGGAATTCTGTTACGAGTTTGTTTCCAGTGCCGCGGTGACCTGGCAGGAAGCTTTGGATTCATGTCGCAGTCAGGGAGCTGATCTGTTCAGTCTATCTGCACCTGAAGATCTCCACTCCAAAACCTGTAAGACTGATTTATTACTACCGCTCCATCACCTCCTTCTTTTTCTGTTCCTTCTTCCTCTCCATTTATAAGATAAAATAAAATGCCAAGTAGTCAAAGTCATCAGCTTGCCATGCTGAATACCGCATAAACACGATCAAATGCTCTGATATGACAGGGATGCCTCATTTATAACAGTAACAACTGCAATAATGATAATTATGTTGGCAGGGCTTTTAAATGCTCTACTGTAACATTTTTGGTGCTTTTTTTTAAAAAAAAAAAAGAAACAATGACGAAAATAAATCTTAAATATGTCAACTGACCTGTGTCTCTCACAGCCCAGAAACAATATTTATACTGCCTGAGAACTTTGAAGGAAATAGTTTCATTTCGAGTTTAACTCCTGCTCCCAGCAGAAAGAGAAACATCTGTTTTATTCACACCGCCCAAAACCAGTGATTCAAGAGTTTTATGACTAATATCATACACAATCTTTTATAAAAACCGATTGCATTTCTGTTATGTTTCATTACACAAAAATAATGTTTAGTGTTGCGTGATATTTATGTACAATTCAGCTTCTGAATTTTCCATGAAATTACTTTATTTAATATTTTACTTCTACCTTCCGTGGGTGGATTCCATCATTATTATTCCTCGGCTTTTCCTGCTCATTGTTCTTTTATGTGGGAGTAAAAGAAAAGAAAAAAGGGAAGCGCAAATGACTAAGACTCATTCATTTAGCTGAGTAAAGGCATTAGCTTATTATCACTTCCACCCCTCTTCAAATAAGTTCCTCATAAGTTGTTCTGCAGTTTTTCAGTTTAAATGGGGTCTGGGGTTTTGTTGGTTATTTCTGTAGATTTGTTACACAAGGTGGCACTTGACTACTGGCAAATACTGCAAGTGTGGATGTTGAGACAGTTTCTTTTCTTCTTTTTGTTCCTCTCTTTCTTGATTCTTCTTTCTTAAATCCTGTTTATCAAACTGTCATGTGACACATTAATACAGAAGGAGAAAACAGAAGTCTTGCAGATTGAAAGATGCATTGTTGTCCTTGATATCTTCTCTGGATTTGTGGGTCATAAGAACTTCTTTAGAAATATCAAAGACACGGCAAACAGCACAGCCTTTTGTTTAAACATTTGTAGAGTGCGTGATTATTATCTAACCTCTCTTGTGTTTTCAGAATGTCACATGGCTTCCATCCAAAATATTTGTTGCTAGTCCTGCTTTGTGTTTGTGACACTATCTCAGTTTGAGAAGTTGAAAACCACAATCGATGTGACAAAGTGTGACTGGGGCAGCAGCAGCTCCGTCCATCCGTAAACAACTGCTGTCAGTGACATTTAAAGCTGCAACTTCGTGATAGATTTCGAATTGGCCTGGGTTGCACCAGGACACATTTGAGATTCTTGACAGTTTTCCAGGACTGTTGGGGCTTTACGGTCGTCTCTTTCACCCACTCTTCTACTCTCTATCCTTCTTAATCAATTTTTTTGTGTATCCCCGTGTTTGTGTTTTGTTATGTTGTTCATATTGAAATACACTTAGATTATCCTTTGTTGAATTTACTTGCCCTTTGTGCTGTGATGTGTTGTGCAGTACTGGACGGACTTGGCAGAATGCCTGAGAGGATGTGGATCGGCCTTCAGCAGTTAGACGTGTCTCAGGGCTGGCAGTGGTCGGATGGCTCCCCTCTCTCAGTCCTGCGCTGGGAAAAAGGCAATGATTATTACATCTTCTCTCTCTTATGTCTTTCCCCTGTGTTATTTTTTCAATATTTGCTCAGTTTCTGCGAGCGATCCCGCCGTAAATTCAGGCCCCTTCAGTCGATGACAGCAATGATTGTGAGAATGCATGGTGGTAAAAAAACCTAACTTTTGCTAAAGTGCAACCATTTCGATAAAAAAAAAAAAAAAAAAAAATGCATGTAGATTTTTGCAAGTTCATATGTTGTCACCACAATAAACCAGTTTCGGTTTCCTAAAACACCTGCTTCTCCTAGCACACCAGAACGTGCATCCTGTTGTGCTCGGCTGTTGTTGCTGCCCTTCTATAAACTGTGACTTGGTGTCAGTCAGAGAAACAATGAGGCCAGTGTTAAAGCTAAAGAAGCTCATTGTGCATGGTTATTGGACACAGTGTGGCATTGGGATTGTTAGTGTTGCTGAATAACCCATTAATAGTGCTGAATGGAAGGCTTTATAAAGCTTCTAGCTATTGTAATATGTTTTCTGTTCTTGTCAGGGGAAGGTGTTGTTCTTACACTGCAGTATGAAGGATACTGCAGCCATCTGGCCTTCTACTGATATGAGCTCTTTGTGGTTGCTGTAATTTACAACATGTCAGTGTTGCTGCTGGCAGCACTGTCTAACCTGTCGAACCAGCATTGCAGCATTAAACGTTTCTTTTACGAAACCTCGATAAGCTGAATCGAGAAAGATACCCAGTGTTAAATGCCGCTCTTCTTCTCTGCTGTCACATTCAATATGGGATTTTATTTTTACTCATTGTGTGTGGGGGAAATGTGCTTGACAGGAATGCCACCCACCCCCTCACTTATTGAGTCAGACTGTGGAGTCCTCAACTCTAAACAGAACTTTGAATCTGAGGCGTGCAACAAACGGCTGCCATACATCTGCAAGAAGAGTGTCAATGCGTCTCGCACAGCAACAACAGGTAGGTGAACTGGTGCCCTCGCTGTCTGCACAAATATTTCTTCTGAACATATTTAAATAGGACTGAGAGTCTGTAGCCATGCTAGCAGCTCTGCAAGGGTGTACTTATGCACAGTGGCGTTTTGAGTTAAATGGTTGTGTTAGCATCCTAACACTTGCTACTTAGTAATAAACATCAAGTACAGCTGAAGCTGACAGGAATGTCAGTAATAGCGGTAATTCATCCGGACTTGGACATGGATGTCTATAGATTTCATGGCAATCCATTCAATAGTTGTTGAGATATTTCACTCAAATATCACAAATGCCCACCTCTTCCTCTAGAGGAAAAATTAGGGGATCGCCAAAGTCAGAAGTTGAATAACTAGCAAATTTCATAGCAATCTATTCAGTAGTTGTTGAGATATTTCATTCGGACTCGGAGCCAAAATGGTGGGAACAATATTGCCATCCATAGAGTCAGGCCGTTGCGTTGCTAAAAACACGATAACAGCCCATAGCTTCATACAGTACATCCAAAGCGCCTTGTTTGATCCAACTGATGGATGAAGTGACAGGATCCTTGAAGCCCCACACACACACACCAATAGGGAATAAAATTGATATAGATACACTAGGTGATGCTTCCACTTCTTCTTCTTCTTCTTCTTCTTTTTTTTGTGATTTTGGGATATGGAGATACGGTTGACCTGATTTCCCTTCATGGCCTCTACCTGTCTTTCTCCCTCTCTACAGAGTCTTTTTTGTATAATGAAACAGTGTGTGCTGACGGTTGGGTCCCGTGGAATGGCTGGTGTTACAAGTTAGTGAAGGATAAGCCTCAAAACTTTACAGATGCCCAGCAGCTCTGTAACAAAGCAGAGGGAGGAGGAGAAGGTTTTCTGGCCAGCCTCCACTCCATCGACAGCAAAGAGATGATCAGCACTCATTTCCACGCAGGTCAAACTCTCATTTTCATTTTTCTAATGTAATATGTCTTGGCGATGAACTAGTCATTTCTCTTTGAACAAGTGAAATATCTGCTAACGCAAATTTGACAATTGTGTTGAATGGGGTGAGGCCTCTTTGCTTTTCTCTTGATTTACGGTACAGACAAAGTAATCACTCGCGTGTGGATTTCATGAAACAAGCTGATTTACACTCTGCTGCCTTATTTTTTTCCTTTGCACTCCTGAACATTGTGGGAATGAGGATTAAATTCAGAATGTGAATCAACAGACCCCTGCCTTGACCGTTGGAGTTTGATTTTAAATATGTCCATAAAGTGATGTTTTTATTTTTGCGTTATGATCCATCAGACGGCAAGCTTTTGGATGTGTGGATCGGTCTGACCGGGACCAACATGAACACTACGGTCTTCAAGTGGATCGACCATGCACCCGTCACCTTCACCTACTGGGCTCCAAACGAACCAGTCCAGCCCACTCAGGACACCAGCTGCGTCTTCTACTCTGGAGAGGTGTCTTTATGCTGATGTGGTTCTGAGGGCATGCATTTTTCTGTAACCCCACTTGTATTGTAGTCAGCCATTTTGCATGGTGTGTGTGTGTGTGTTTGTGTACTGCCAAGGCTGGGTTTTTGTCATCTTATGATCTTCTATACATGTTTGTTTATGTATGAGGCCTGCAAAATCAAACCTGTGCCTGTTCTCCACAGTCTCATGGTTGGCGGGTTGGGAACTGCACACAGAGGCTACCTTTCATGTGTCAGACGAAAGGAGAGGTCAAGCAATCAGTGACACAGGCTGGATGCCGCTTTGAAGATGTAAGTGTGTTGTCTATAGATGTGATCTTTTTGTTTATTCACATCCCTGTTTGGAAGTGACATCTGTCCTTCCACACATCAACACAATGTGCATGACCGAGGCTACACGCACACATTTGCAATCATCATGAAAATGAGACAAAGAAGGAAATAGTCATATAAGTGTGTTTACGGCTGTGGAGGTCAGATGACAGTCAGTCATTTAAAGGCTGATCTGTTGCTGTATTGGCAGCTTTTGCAGGAACGGAAGAGATGTGTGGATGCAAAAATGAAACTGTCCTAAATAGATGTGGTGGTAGAAAAAAACCAAAAAAAAAACCACATGACTGATCTCAGTAAAGCACCATCGCAGAGGACAGTGTGTGTCAGAACAGAAACTGGGGTACTGGGCCACTTTTGCTTTGTAATTTGAATGTATCTGAAGTCTTAATGCTGTCAATCCCCCAGGGTTGGAGGAGACACGGCAACTCCTGTTATCAAGTGAACACCAAACAAGTGTCCTTCAAAGATCGCTGTAACATCACTATAAGAAACAGGTAGGAATTTGTTGAGCAGGTGACCTTGCTCTTTGATCAGAAATAGACACTGATACTCATCAGCTGCTGACTACTGCTGATGAATACCTCTGGTACTATGGTCCCTCTATTTTTAACTGTTAGGCAGATTCATGACATATGCTTCTTAAACATAATTGTAGCTGGTCTTTGTCAAGTCACTGACATTTGACCGTTCTTTCCAGGTTCGAGCAGGCCTTCATCAGCCGTCTACTTGGAGAGCACATCAGCAAGGAAACTCAGTATTTTTGGATAGGCCTGCAGGACATTAAGAACACAGGAGAGTACCAGTGGCTGAGCCAGGATGGGTCCCCAGGTTTGGTTACCTACACTAACTGGGGCTGGCTTCAACCAGGTTAGTAAAAACAACACAGCTTCTGCACAACTCAGACCCTAATGCAGAAATAGCAAAGACTAGAGGACTAGGCTTGTCATAAAAGACTCATGGTTGATGACAGAGTATAATGTTATAATGTGCTGTATGTAATTCTGAACCTCTGTTTGCAGAATATAGATTATATTCCAGTTTCCCAAAGCCCAAGGTGTTGTAGTCAAATGTCCTGTTTTGTCCAAGGAACCGTCCAATACCACGATATTCAGTTTAATATAATAAAACAGTATGGGAACCAGTATCAAATATGTAATAATAAATATTATATAAATATTTCCAAAATTGTTGCTGATTGTTTTTCTGTGGAATGACTAGTTGTTTTTGCAGCTCTAGTCTGCTGACTCACTAAAGTTTACATCATTATCATTATCATCATCGTTATGTTAATGTCCGTATACCGTGACAACAGACCCACATTTTCATGTTTAATGAGTTTAAAAAACAACAAACACTTTAGATTTTTCATGTAAAAGTAAAACTTAGATTGTATATGTTAAACGAAAATAAAAAAATAACTATATTACAGATTTTGCACATAATATTTAGCTTTTTAGTGCTTTATCCTCATGTGTATTTTAGCTCGGCATGGAAGTTGTGCAGTGATGTCCACCGGGAAACCCCTGGGCAAGTGGGAGGTGAAGAACTGTACCATTTTTACGGCCGGCTCCATTTGTAGAACAGACCTCAGTCCACCTCCACCCCCAGAGCCAGAGCCGAACCCCAATGCAACCTGTCCTGATGGATGGGTGTCTAAACCAGACATCAAATACTGCTACAAGGTGTGTATGTGTGTATGACTGTGTCTTTGAATGCCTCTGGTCTTGTAGACTGTTTCCACCATTAGAAGCCATAGTCGTTTGGCAAAGGTGATGATGGTTGTAGTAGGAGTTAAAAAAGTTTTACACATCGAAGTCTGTTCACAGGGGATGGGGAGTACTATGTTGTATGTGGGGGAAAAAAATTGTATAAAGCTTTCTGTGGCTTCAGAGGAAGCCACAGAAACCAGGTACTGGTACTGTTTTGGCAGCTGTTGTGAGCTGTTGTTTCACCTTGTCAGGTGTTTCATGAGGAGAGGCTGAGCAGGAAGCGCTCCTGGGAGGAAGCTGAGAGGTTCTGTCAGGCTCTGGGAGCCAACCTGCCCAGCTTCACAAATACTGCTGAGATGAGGGCCCTGCACAGCATCATGAGAGAGACCATCAGGTATACACACATGCATTAGTGTACTGTATGTATTCTTTTTATGAAGCATTATTAGCATTATTTTTATTACTTAATTTGTCATTGTTTATTTTGTAACATTCTGACATGAACAAATAAAAACTGGTTGTTGCTTTAACTTTTATAGACACACTCATTACCTATCAGATGGGCAGTAACAGTCACTTAAAGAGATGAACGTTAAACATGTTGTTTTGTCCTCGTGGGCGCATACCTCAGAGTTCCACTTCCTCTCTTTGTTCACTTCAACATTCAGCATTTCACTTGAACGTTAGACTAAACACAGACCCTCTCCTGACACACAACTCACACATGTTCATTGAGTGGTTGAATCAGTTTTAAGCTTTTAATCTTGTATCTATGAATAAGATGCCAACATTGCTGTTAAAATTTCTCAGCACTTAAGAGGATTTTTAAATGATTAGAAGAGTTTCTATTGTCAGGAGTGATGATGGTTTGCTCTGTTGTTCTTGTTGCAGTAATAATCGATACTTCTGGGTTGGCCTGAACAGGAGAAACCCATCTGATCGCTCTTGGGAGTGGAGCGATGGCCGGCCTGTGAGTATAGTGTAGCGTATAGTATTGTATAACATTTTAGGTGTCAGATAATTCAGTGCAATTTTCAAGACGGCGAATTCTAACAAATCAAACAAATTAAAGTGCATTGAAAACAATTAGAATCATATCTTGGCCAAATTAATTTACTCTAATTTCTAGCCTTTAACCCTGCAGCTGAAACGGCACCTTTATTTGTCTCAAACACACTATATCTGCTTTAGATAGACTTATCGCACCAAGTGTGAAGTGTGTTTATTCAATGTCTTCGCAACAGGTATCTATGGAGGTTTTTTACCAGGATTTCCATGAGGATGATGCATACAATCGGGACTGCACTGCATTCAAGGTGGGCTGGATAGGTTTACTCTACATTATACTACATACTACTATATTATTGTGTTGTAAGATAGGATTATCCATACTGTCCAGATTGATCTATGAATCAAAGCCATTTAGCAGCTGTTTGTGGGATTCAACAGAAGAGCTACAGCTGAAATCCGCCCCCATTTGACTCATGCATGATTTCATGCTGTGTTGAAACAAAATCTCATTGAAGACAGTCGGTCAGAGCAGGGGTTCTGCTTTGTTTTTTCCCATCATGAGGAAACTGTCATTTATTATTCATCAAGCTGACCATGAATATCATTTCTCTTAATTTGACTCCTGTGTTTCACACAGAACGGAGTGCCAGCTGATTGTCTCTTGCTGTTTCCCTCCGTTTTAAGAAGTTCTTTTTCATCATGCAGCTCAGACGATGACCTTTGCTCGTATTTAGATTGTCTTGGTTAGTGACTGTGTTGGCAGACAGACAGTCTCTTCTGAAACTATCACTGAGCTGCAGGAAGGAACAAGATCTGCAATCTCACAGTTATGAAACGTCTCTTGTATATTTTCTTTGTGACAATATTTGTGTCAACAATGTGTGTCCTCATTAGACAATGAAGAGCACCTTGAAGCACCTTTTCGTGCTTCTGCACTATGACTTAACTGCCACACCTTTCTACGCCACACCATTTCACTGTGATTCCAGGCTGGAGTGGGTCTGCCAAATACCCCGCGGTAAGACCACACATACAATCCCTACTGTGTAGTGTAGCAGTGCACAAAGCAGAGGTTGGTTTTTGTTTGTGGAGAGCTAAAACCTGTCATCAAGATGCTTAATTAGGGATTTTGTAATGCGGCTAGAATGGTGCGACCACCCAGTAGTTGAGTTATTTGTACAGTTTCCTGTAACACAATAATGAAGTAAAGACAAATTTTCCCACATGTGATTTAAAAACCGTATGCTCTTATACATAAATCTACTGGAATGTAACATTAGCTTGTTGTTTGCGTGGTGTTGTTTATTTATTCTGCTTCTAATTCATTCTTTGTTGGTGCTTCAACAGGAAAGACACCAAAGATCCCAGACTGGTACAATCCCGGTAATGACTAAATCTTTCCAGAATTTGTGATTAAAGTCTGATTATCTTTTGAATCTGGGTTTCAACTGTGACTCAGATCTGTCAGAGGCCAGAATTTCTTTTATTCATGTTTTTTTTTTTCTCTGACAACTTACTAGCACAGGGTCTTGAAAAGTCTTAAAAGCACTTAGTTCACTACCCTCAAAGAAAAATCTGAGAAGGTATTAAAAAGTCTATATATTAAAATATTTTTTTTCTTTCCTTTCGTAAACAGAAACAATAGTTGTAACCTTTGGCTCTTGAGACAGAAGCTTGTCAACTCACAATGGGTTGATTTTTTAGCAAAAACAGAAATTAAGAAATCATTTTTTTTTTACTTTATAATTAGTTGATCCATCCATCAAATTCTGCTGTTTATCTGGGTCCAGGCATGGAGAGATTATGAGAGAATAAGGCCCTGGTCATAGACAAGTAAAATATACAGGACCCCCGGACCAACAGAGACAAAACCATGCGGTTGCGTTATTTGTAGTTGTTGTGAGTCTCTTCATGGTGGTTTTGCTTGTATCTGTAGTCTTTTAACTGAGCTCTGTGACTTTCAAACAGGAAATATTAACAGTCACTTCATACAGAGGCTCTGGCCCCTGGGCCTGTGCCCGTGTAAGCCTGTTCAGTAATCCTATTGATCAATTATATTACTAGGAATTATATAAACAATATACAGCTGAAAGGTACTGACAAAAATAATATATAATGATAATGATTTGATGAACGATGCAGAAACCCAGTATTAGAATAATTTCGTCTGTGCATGTCTGTGGCTGGGTGTGATATGTCTGTTGTCACAGCCTGAGATGTGTCACGATTTTAAAGCTATTTGTTGTGCCTTTCAGTTGGGCACCATGAGACGTCTGTGTTCGTGGATGGAGCGGAGTTTTGGTTTGTTCAGGAGCCTAAGCTTACCTTTGAGGGGGCACAGCTCTTCTGCCATGTGAACGACAGCAAACTGGCTACACCAACTACCTCCACTGCTGCCATAAAGATCCACCAGTACCTAAAAACTGTAAGTGAGACAAGACTATATGTGGCCATGTAATGATGGGCTCATGAGAGTGCTATCAAACCAAGACCGAGTGACTGTTCGATGAGCCCCATCTCCTTCAGTCACTGTTGCTACACCTGTCTAGCTTTTGGTCCGAGGACAGCACGTATGCAAGTTACACTGATAACAGTGGCAGATATATGACTCAAAATTCACAGTAATTCGACTGAAGTCACTATCACTATCAGTTAGTTTTAGGTACCTAGCATGAGCTAATGCTAAAACTCATCAAGCTGGCTGAAAACTCCCTCCAGATGACTTTAATGGTCCAGATCATTTATTTTAAAACAAGAACCATTTAAATGTTCACTTGATGTCCACATGCATGATATTATGCTAAAAGGTTGAGGCAAAAGTGGTTAAGTGGACATGCTAACCTATGTAGCTTATTAAAAGGCTAAAAAAGAACACCACCTTCCACACTCCAAACTCTATATGTACCAGGTATAGCTCTTATTCCAGTCCCATGTGTTTCAGCCACAGCTTGTGAAGAAATCCAGAGGTCCTGACAGGCCTGCCATGTCTGCTCTACTATGATTGGACAATCACTGTTTGGGGGAAAGAAAGAGACAAAACTCAAAGTCTAACTGAAATAGCAGTTTTGTCTGCTCCAACATGCATGCAAAATCTTGAATTTATATTTTTTGGTTTCGTCAAGGCGCCCCTGCTTTTGCATGAATTGGACAGAATACCATTCCAGTGTTGGCTACATAGACCTTGTTTTGATATTTTTCAATTAAATATTGCATAAAGCACTGACATCAGTGTTGTATCATGGGCAGGGCAGATGGTTACACTGAGTCAGACTGCAACTCCTACGCAACACAAGAGCCACAGATTCTGACCAACAACCCACATCAGTTTTCCTACTTAAGTTTCCTTCCTATCTAACTTACAAACATGAACACATGTCTTGTCCTGCACCTCAAAAGTACCTTGAATGATTGGTGTGGTCCTTACTCTTCAGAATCCCAGCTTACAACAAGCTGTCTGCACAGGTTTGTTTACTTTGTCTGGGAGTCAACAGCACTCTGCCAGCCTGCCAGTCACTGTCAATCAAACACAGACACCAACACACCTCTCCAGTCGGCTGAGACAAACAGGAATATTTCTGATATTTCCCCAAAGAGATTTTCTCTTACTATTAATTTTTAACAATACATAAAAAAAAAAAAAACACATTAAGATTATTTTAGACAGCAAAAAGGGATGACTGAATAAATTGGAATTCCCTGTTTTGTTTTCCTCTCTTTAAGCAGTTCGCCCTGTTTACATTTTTCTTTCCCCAGGGGAATCTATAATTGATTTGTACAGCCTAATGACTGTGGAAATTCTTTCCACAATCTTTTGGTCATGGAAAGCTTTTTTCATGAGAATACAGCAGTCAAACAGTAGAATAGAAAAATATATAATGTAGTACAATATACATTGTACAATAGCACTAAATTCTGCCACCAAGCTAAGCACTAAAAAGTACAGTCATCACTGCCATAAAAGTTCCTTGCCTGCTTGATGCATCCTTCTGATTTTCTGTCTGACAAGTTCTTGTTTTTTATAAAGTACTTCATAAATTCTGAGCCAAGTGGTAATAAAGCCGATTATATCATTATTTTATGATGTGGTACTTAAGCTTGCGTGTTTTAAACAGATCTCAAGTTCTCTTAAGCAAAACTGGTGGGTCAATATGAAAGAGCCTGGAAGGATATTCCCCATGACGTAAGTGCCAAAACAAACAAACACACACACACACACACACACACACACACACACACACACACACACACACACACACACACACACACACACACACACACACACACTCACACACATTCATGACTCTTATGCCTGTATATATCTGGAAAAATGTGTTGATTGAAATAATGTGTTTTCTAGGTACCCCCAGATGTACTTTTACCATGCAGCTTTCCTGGGTAGATGCATCTCCATCACTCCTGAAAGCGTCTTTCCAGGCGAGTAAACATCTTTGTGTTTCTATGCACCTGAATATGATTAAGGATATTTTTAAATCTTTAGATTTTAATACCAGTTCCTAACTCACTCAAACGCAGTCAGCAAAGGAAAACCATTGATATGAATTAGAAGGTGACAGGTATATGTGGTAATCAGACATTTGCTACAATTTAAAAGTAAGTATTGCACAAATTTGGGAATCAGAATGTGTTTCATATACAGTATATATAATAAGAACAGTTAAATGTTTCTCTGTTTTCTTGGCCTAAATAACACCTGGTTCAGCCAACACACATACCAGACTAACAGCTTCCAGCAGGTCAAATCCATAGAATAAAATGACAATAAAAAATAATGTTAATGAAGTTATTGCTCTTCTCACTGATCTGAAGCTAGTGGGCTTAGCTGAAAAAAGGTGCTGTCAAACTCTGATGAGAGAAAGATGGTGAAGTTCACTTCACAAGTTCTTTTTTTTTTTTTTTTAATTTTTTTTAACTTCAATCCTTCAATTTAGTGATGGCTATTCCTCTGCAGAAATACTTAATAATAAACTGGATTTTACCTTTAACTGTGTAATTTTTACACAATAATTGTTTTGAAAGTGCTCACTTGGAAAACAGCTCTAACAGCAGAAAAGAGCAAATATTTAAAAATGTTTTGTAAAATTGTCCAGAACAGCACATAACATTATAAAATGAGCTAGAACTAATCTGGCTTTAATCATCTCGGAGAGCAAAAAAGCTCTGATGCACATTACTTGACTTGATTCATAATAGGCACATTCACTGTCATATGTTTGCTTTTAGACCATGAACTCAGTTGCCAGCAGCGATTGTCCTTTGTGTGTGAGAGACACAACATCACGTCAGTGGAGATAAACCCTCTGGAGCCTCGGCCTATTGGACTGCCCTGTGAAAAGGACTCTCTGTCCTTCAGAAATAAGGTCTACATTCATCTACATCTCTTAACACTGCATGACGCTTTAAAACAGATTACCTCTTGCTCTTGTTGTCATTCTCCTGCAACCCTAGAGTGATTGTACTCAATGGAGTTGCTTTTAAAACTAAGAGGGATTAAACCTAAGGAAAGAGGATGATGATAATTTTGTACTTCAAAGGAAAAGTCTTGCATTTCCCATGAAAAAATGTCTTAACATAGACAATCTCAGTTTGAGATATTTCCAGCAGCAATAGCAATTAAGTTTGATTGAATAAATTTAAATATAATTTTCTGTGTTATCCCAGCAGAACTGAAGAGCTATGGCCTCTTTTTAAAATCATTATTCTACACCAACATTTATTTGCCGCCTGGGTGATTATGAGAGTATGTCCACTTAGAGAAATTGATTGCAAATGCTAAATTCATTTCAACATTTTTGCGTGGCATCTGCCCTCCGTACATCTCTGTGTGTTTTGATATTTAATCTTGATTTAAAAGAGGAAGTCTCTTGACACTTACAAGACAATTACAATCTCTTATAAGACAGCCCTCTTACAAATTGTAGTGCGTGGTGTTTAATACAGGGTCACAAAAAATACATTTACAACTTTTTAGATTTGGCACACAGTGTAGTACAAAAACACAGGACCTGAGAAGCATAAATACTGAAGTGATAATAACGGTGGTGTCTTTTTTTTTTTTTCAGTGCTACACACTGATGAGGAACATGACGTCTTTGTCATTCAGGTCTGCCAATGAGGCATGCCAGTCAGTGAAAGGAACACTGGTCACTATATCAGATCAGGTGGAGCAAGGTGAGGATTATTCTAGTTCTATGTGTAATAAACATGAAAAGCATGGTTAACATGCCTGTTATGACTCGGATGACATTAGATAACTTGTTTTCTCATGATTGATAAAGTTGTTAATTCAGCCACTCAAATAAGAAATGGAAGTTTCTCAGAGTCAAAATGCAACACAAAAAATTGTCGTACTATATGTGTGTGTTTTAGATTTCATCAACACACTTTTACCGAGCATGAATAAAATGGAAAGGATCTGGATTGGTCTAAAAATCAAGCAGAACAACCCAGAATGGGCGGACAAGTCCCCAGTCAACTACCTGAACTTTAACCCACTGCTTCTGGGCATGCATAAGGCTATACATATCAATGTGAGTCCGCTTTTACTTCACTTCTGTGTAAAAGGGAATCTCCACCAATTTTACATATCAGAGGTTAAAAAAAACATGCCTTAGGTGATGTCACAATGTCATTTCCAGTTTGTACTTTCTCCCTTTTTTTTATCAGACATGGGATCCAGAGAGTATTGATTTATGTGTGTTTTTGATCAATAACCCCAACTCTGCCATGCTGGGTACCTGGGATTATTCTTCCTGCACACAATATCAAAATGTGGCCATTTGCCAACACTATGCAGGTAAATCACCATTTAATATTTCTACATTATTATCCTGATTTTGCTCCAGACCATACGTTTACTTAACATAACAACTTTGTTGCATATCGTTCCCCATCTCTCTCTCTTTCTCCCTAATTTCCTGTCATTCCTCTACTGTAACCCCTTGAATTAAATGCATCAAATGCCCAGATAAATAAGTGGAAAAAAAAAAACAAGGTATTGCAGCTCTCATGAGATGATGTCATTTAAACACAAGGCTTACTCGTTTCAGATAAAGTAGAGGAGCCCCAGGTCTTCACAGAGCCCATCCACATCAATAACCACACCTTCCAGCTGCTTGTCAAAAATCTCACCTGGTTTGAGGCCTTGGAGCAGTGCAGAAGTAATGACATGGACCTGGCAAGTGTGGCCGACACCTCCCTCCAGTCCGCCCTCACTGTGAATGTGAGCCGTGCGCGCATGCCCATGTGGATCGGCCTTTTCAGTGAAGATGTAAGTGTACCAAACAAGGGCTACATTTATTTAACTTCACCATTTCTACAAGATTCTTTTATGTTTCGTTTTGTGTTCAGGAAGGGATCCACTACCGCTGGACAGACCACAGCCACACTGTGTTCAGTCGGTGGTATTCTGATGTCACCAGTGGCTCGTGCGTCTACCTGGACACAGATGGTTTCTGGAAAGCCACCGAGTGCGAGGAGGAGCTGGGAGGCGCCATCTGCCACAAATCACAAAGTGAGTGGGGAAATGGAATACAGTTAAACAGAAATGCCTGTTATACTTCCTCATACTGCTAATTGCATGAAACTACTGCATGAAACATTTTTTTCTAGACAGGGAAAATTGGGGAAAATTCTCTCAGGAAAAGTGGTAAATAATATAAAAGACCTATGGAATTCTGGGGTTGCACTTGTACAGGGTGGTGTTTGAATCAGAAAAGAGTTTAACAGTTATAATATATATTATAGAAATACTGTACTGTTTATAATTACAACCCTGCTGGTAAGTTTTCTGTGGTAACAGGGTGTATAAACTGTTGCAGGGGAACTTTAGAGACTAGAATAGTAAGCCATGGCTTCCTGTTTGGCCTGATTGTCAAAAAAATTGTGTCAAATGTCCTTCTCAGTTGACATGCATCAGTATTCTTGCAAGTATTCACATTTGGAAAGCATCTAAATAAATACGTAAACTTATTTATTACAGATGAGATCATCACCACACCAGAGGATGTTGCGGTGAAGTGCCCTCATAAGATTAATGGTCCAAACTGGATCCCCTTCAAGAACAACTGCTACTCCTTCCAGCTGGTCGCCTCCAGATGGGAACAGTTCGACAAAGGACTGATTTATGACACCTGCAAAAAACTCAGTAAGAATTTTACAGCGTGGGACACATGTTGTTATGTCGAAGTTGCGGAAACTTTTTTTTTTTTTTTTTAATTTTTTTATTATATTACTGATGTTGCTTAAGTTGCTGATGCTGCTGCATTCATGTTTCAGATCCAGGCGCAGACATCTTAACTATCCGAAATGCAGAGGAGAATGAGTTTATCAAGCAGCAGCTGCTACCGTTTCAAACCTTGGCCCAGTTCGTATGGCTGGGACTGTTTAAAGATGAAAACGGTTGGTATTTTATTACTTTGACTACAAATCTCTTTTTAATGGTCACTGCATGTTAGTACCTCTACCTACATGCAGTGACCACTACACGACACGACCTTTTTTGCAACACTTTTTCCTACTAATGCAGACCCTGGTACCTAAACCCAGGTTATTGGCCAATATTGACCCATACCAGTATTATAATATTCTCTTTTAATTTACTACCAAGTTCTTCTACACCAGAAAAGCCTTATAGACAGGTGCGTTGAAGGGATCATAAACTGACTAACATCACCAGTACCATCAAAGAGCTCATTGACTGATTGATTAGTATGGATGCTAGGAGCTGGTGGGATTCTACTGGGTGGTGTAAAAATATATGGTGTATTAAAATAAATTTTACCTGATAAATGTCTGAGGGCTGAAATGTTGAACACATGATTGACAATGGGTTTTTTTTTGTTTTCCTTTTTAATCTTTATTTGATTTCTATATGTTAGTGTAGTGCAGAAACAGCATAATGGTGCCATAGGCAGTGCTTTAGGCTTGTGTAATAAAAATCTACATTACATCAACACTGACATTAGTCCTTAGTGTGTGCGCGCGTCTGTGTGTGTATTTATGTCATTATACCAGGATTAATAGTGATTTTGTTCTGATGTAGATAACCGGATGAAGTGGTATGATGGCACAAATGTCCAATACTCCAACTGGGCAAATGGCAGACCAGATCTAGATCAACCTTTCTTGGCTGGTCTCACCACTGAAGGCAACTGGCTTCTTGTTCAAAACAAAAACCTTTTCTCAGAGTTCAAACAAAGGACCATTGTGACCTGCAAACTGGACAATGGTTGGTGTATCACACTTTACAACATAAATCTTACTTCTGTCTCCACCTCTCTTATTCTCAATACTGGAAATATTTCATGCTTGAAATCATCTTACATGTTTTTAAATCCTCCTCTTCCGAAGAACCAAAACAGGAGTACAACCGGTCGGCTTTGGATTTTCAACACTACGGTAACTTAACTTATGAGGTTGTGACCCGAAAGTTGAGTTGGTACCAGGCTGTGGAAGAGTGCGGTAAGCGTGGAGGCCACCTGGCAAGTGTCCATGACGTCCAGCACAGTGCACATGTGAAGCTCCTCGCCAAGACGGATGGTTTCCCGCTCTGGATTGGCCTGTCAAATCAGGACGTAAGAATTTTTGCTTAACCAAGATCTGAGCAAATAAAATATTTTAAAATGAATTATAATCGAGTTTACCAGAAACGGCACGTCTCATTTGGATTACTTTCACATGATAGTGTCTCGTAAATTCCTTGCTGAAGCTGCCAGCCAGTCGTGCCATCATGACAATCTACGTCTCTCTCTCTCTCTCCATGCAGGTTAGCGGCTCGGCCTATGAATGGTCTGATGGAACAAAACTTGACTACAAAGTCACCATCTCTGACTCAAAGGAGGGATCCAACAACCAAGAGGCCAGCTGTGTTCATGTCACCCCTGCTGGAGACTGGATGAAGACCAGCTGCAGTACATTGAGGGACGGAGCCATCTGCTACACCAACATCACTACCACTTCCCAGAGTAAGACTCCTATCTGTTTTGAAATATAGAGTCACATTGTTCCTCTTTCATCGTGTAGGAAAAAGTCAGGGTACTGCAATCAGTCAGTATTGAATGGTTCAGTGTGCAGACATGGCTCAGAGGAGAAAAATAGCACCTCTGAATCCCTGCAGCAAAATTGGACCATTGTGTAAAAGTGATGCATCTACCTGTGACTTAATTTGTTTTTGAGTGACATTGACAGTTCTCCATCTTATTCTTGTGTTGTTATAAATCAGGAGCCAAATATTATGCTACCCCAGAGGCCAGTCACTGCCCTCAGACCAACGGTATGTCCAAGTGGGTGCAGCATGAGGATTACTGTTACGCCTTCAACATGAGCTTCTACAACTACAGCGTCTACAGCATGCAGCAGGCTAGGAGCATCTGTCAGGGCATGAGTGAGTGGTTATTTGGCGTATGAAAGGTTATGATCAGTATTCACCTGAGGCAACTGCAGTCCATCAGTTGTTGTGTCTTTTTTTTCTGTGTTGACAGGTGCTGAACTGCTGACCATAAAAACCAAAGAGGAGAACGACTTTGTGTCAAAGTACATTTCTGATAACCCTCTCATCACCAGTCGTGTATGGCTCAACATGGACTTGGATACTCAAGGTGAACCCCATTATTAGATATAGAAGATATAGAGGATATAGTAAAACATTATAGTAAAACATTATTAACTTGGATTTAGCATTCTGAGTAAGAAGAGGATAACTGAGTATTAAAATAGTCGTCAATTAATTTGGGAGTGAAGGCTGATTCCAATCCTGTTTTGAATCCTAAACTCGTTGACCTTTCTGTTTACATGTGAAGAGATCAAAGGAAGACATTTTCAGAGCTAACTTGTGATTACATCAGTGTTCAGCCTGTGGCAGAAAGGAGACCACAGGACTATTCCTACCCCATTTTAATGAGGAAACTTGTGACTGAAAACACCAAATTCAATTCAGTGTGACCACAGTTTACTTCATCAGCTTGCACACTATGACAAGGACCTTTAAAGCCATGCAGTCAATATTTGTCTATTAGCAAAGAGATCAAATGACTATGTATGATGTGAAAGGTGTAACTCATAGTGACACACCCACAGAGAATTATTACCCGACTCTGCACCCCCCCCCCCACCTCACCCAACCGCCCGAGAAAGTCTTCCCACCCCCAAACAGCAGACAGACAGAGTTAGTGACTTTTACCAAGTAAAGAGTCTGGTATTTTCCCCTCAGGAGTAACCCTAACCCGAAAACAGAACTAAAAGGAGAGTAAATACTGGACGTAACATTTCTTAAGCAGAGAGAAACACAAAACAGATCAAACAATATCATTTACGGCTTGTTGCACTGCCCCAAGTGGCCAAATGAAATTATGTTTTAACAAATCTGTCAGTGTACTTTTTTAAATTCAGATATGAACTGTCATTATCATACAGAAACACATTGTTTGTGACATTTGTGCTTTGCCTTGGGGATGATAGTCCCCCCTCCCTTATTATCTCCACATTCCTCCTCTCAGGTAAGCCTGTATCCTGGCAGGATGGCTCAGCTCTGGTTTATTTTAACTGGAAAGATGAGGCCTTTGCCACCGGGAGGAAATCGTTGTCCGACTGTGTCGTCATGATGGCAGGAGAAAAAGGAGTCTGGAATTTTGTTAGCTGCCAGTCAAGCCACAGTCGTGTTGTCTGCAAAACTGATGCAAGTAAGTGTCACAACTGCATTAAAGGAATAGTTTGACATTTTGGGAAATACACTCTCTTGCTGAGAGTTAGATGAGAAGATGGATACCACGCTCATGCTTGTGTGGTAAATGTGTATCTGTAGCCAGCAAAATCAGCAAAGCTCCACCTTTTTTAAAAGTTACGCAACTTAATTGACAGCAGTAGAGGTTTTGCATGTCTAAGCCCAAACAAATATTCTTTACATTACTTAGTTTGTCAGATAGAAGCTGCGTGAACTCAAACATGACGCCATCTTGATCAGTGGGGAACACAAAAACCTCTAAAAACTCACTAACTAACTTCACTTTTGTGTCCTCAGAGTCTGCAGGCTCTCCCGTGGCACTGGGTCTCTTCATCGTCATCCTCCTCGCTCTCCTTTCAGTCATCGGCTTTATCATTTATAAGAAGAAAAGAGCCCACTTCTCTTCTACGGTCCGCTACAAGAGGACCTTTGATGAGTCAGACACCACCAGTATTATAACAGATGCTGACTAAGATTGCTTAAGTAATCAGCCTCAGGGAGTATTGATGTGCCTGCCTTGTGTGCATTTTAGGGCTTTTAAGCAAGAGCAGATGAGGCCTTCCCCCCTTTTTTTTTTTTTTTTTTTTTTTTTTTTTTATTATTTATTTGTCCTGCTCAAACTAGCAAACATAGAATCGTGTTTGAAACTGTAAATATTGTGAATATGTGCCAGTTTAGATTCTTAATTTGAGTTATTTTAGATCCTTGTGTTATACCTAATGTAAATACTCGAGCTGATTCTCTCTGGTGAATGTTGATCATTGACATTAATGAGATGTGGGATTATGGGTAAAGTTTAGGTTGTTTCTCTTTTTTTTTTTTTTTAGATTTTGAGTTGATTTACAGAAATATGCAACCTGACGACAAAATCTGTCTTACACTCCCATTCAGCCTTAAAAGGTTAAATTGCACTGATGTATGAGTGACTCCAAACCATCACAAACAAAATGTGCAGTTATTTATTCATACTATATATACCATTTATACAATCTATTCCAAATTCATTTTTCAGCCTCAGATGGTTTGATTCCCGTCCACCGTGGTGAACAGAAATCAATACATTCATAGAGTTTTATCGGACAGTTCACCTGAAAATACAGTAAAACTAAAAAGGAAGACCTCAAAGTCTTGTGTAAACATTTACTCATGTAAATGTATTCTGTAATGACAGATTGCACTCTTTAAAGGAAATAATTTAGTATTTTTGGATGGACTGTGCCTTTAAATTAGCAGAAAAATTTCTCGTGGATGAACATCTCACTGATTGTGCCTCTTAACATCTTTACATAATTTGAGTTTTTAATCCACTGAAGAGGGTTATTTTAATTCAGTTGACTTATTAATACCTGCGATGTGTTTTAGTTGTCAATATACATAAACGATGAGAGTTGAAAACGTTATTTCTGCCGAATTGCTTTAAAAGTACAGTATGTCACAGAGTCTTAGCCTCAAAATGAATCCGACACCTGTTTGTATACGTTCTCTGCTTTTTTAGGTTTGACTTAACTATGCACTTAACTACTGATCAAGAACGCACTTTAATATGTCATGGAGCTACAGTTCCCACTATGTTTAAGCACAATGAAGTTTGAGAAGTTTTTAAAAAATATGTTTGAATTGCACTGGTGTTTGTTGTAAAGGCTTTGTAAATATGTGATTTTTGTTTTATAACAACAATGAACCAAAGACGCTCTGACTTGTTTGAATGTCAAAAGCCTGAGCCTTCCTTTCAGTCAATGGAAATACCCCAATATGGCTTTTTAACCCATTCATACCAAGATGCAAACCAAATGTTAAAGGTGTTTTTTTGTTTTTTTTTTAACTTTCCCACCACTCCTAAACACGTGTATCAGCTCAAATCAGGTACAGTAGCCTTCAAATAAAATTAGCTGTCTTCAAAAACTAGTCTTTTCAATCTTTTTTTATTTTTATTTATTTGAAGTCTTTTTCAATCTTGTTGACATTTCTTACCCTTGCTGAGGAGCTCTGTATAATATTATATATAAAAACAGATGCAAATTCTGCCTTAGGATGGATTTTTCTCTTCTGCCTTTAGAATATTCTTATTGAAGTTTGTTGCCTGACGATCACACTGAACTCAGGTCTGGAACCAGGTTACTTTAGAATTGCCTCTATATCAGAGGAGGCAGCATCTTACAAGTGCTGCATGTTTTGACTCCTGTGTATTAATTCACTTCTAACACAGAGAATGAAGCACAGACAAGTCAAATCTAATGTTATTCTAACAAGAAGCACCTCTGTATGAACTCTGTTGTGCCTGCAACATCAACAGATAATAGTAAAAATCAATATAATAGTAAATAAGACTTGACAGAAAAAGCAGTCTGCATTCAATCTTTATTCCCAAAATTAAGAGGCATGAAACTAGATTTGTACATACATAAAGCATTTCAAACACTGAAACATAGATGAAGAAAATTTGTTGATGGGTAAGTCCTCTTTTTTTTTTTTTCTTTTTAACTCGGTGTGAAAAGTCAGGGGAAAACAGACAACAAAAGTAAATAATCGCCACTCTTTCTGTTCTCTCCCAAAAGCATCCGTCTTACCATCAGAACGTAAGTACAAATCCACACTCACCTCTGTGTTCCTTCTATTCTATTCCTTCCTTACTTCAACATTAAAGCACTTGTGGTATAACAGTTAAAAAGACTTGCATTTTTATTTAATTATAAGTGAATAAAGTGCACTCATAGAAACAGAAATACAGTGGTGTCAGACAGAATGTTTTACTCACTAGTTCAATTCAAGTTTGCATATTTGCAAAAGCCACCTGCAACAAAGGCAAGACATGTTCTGTGCACTTGGCATTTCTCACTTGCATTTCAGATGACCGTGACAATGTCAAAGCATATGTGAAAACGGGGTGAGCTACCATATGGTATGGTGTAGCCCTGCAACTTCAGGTAATCTGACCCACTTTTTTGACCCTCATTCCACCACATTCACATAATTAGTACTCCTCTTCAAGATCGTCATCCAGGTCAGAAAACTCAATCGACGGTCTGTTGTCTCGCACCTCCTCGTCACTTTCTCCATGGGGGCCTGCAATCCAGAGACATCAAGTCAAATTCTGTAGCCAAGTAATAAATATAACAATGAAAATACACAATCTACAGAACACTGTAATGCACTGAAAAGCTGGTAGCTTTAAACATGGTAATTACAGATGAAAGCTCGCTGGTAGCAAATCAGGACTGCCTATCAACAAATACAACACCATAGGAGAAAAGGGCCGAGCGACATACTTTCAAGATTGTCCATGTGTTCATGAAGGATTCTCACCAGGTTGAATAACTGGGTGAGAGAGGGAAGAGTTATCTCTTTTCAAGATGTGAAGTCTACCACAATTCAATACGTCAACATTTTTAAAGTGTAAAATAGCTTAAATTAGTATTGACTTGAACATCCGTGGTGCTATGTGGAAACATGAATATATACTGACTAGAAAAAACAGGAACCCCTGGATGCTGTGATGTAATCTGAGAAACACTAATTTACTATGACCTGCCATGGTGCTGAATTAGCACTACGGGCAGATCTAGAAGTGTGGTTGTGTATGTATGCATTTATGTGTGTGTTCTGTTGTGTGTTCTCACCCCAGCTGCATCGACGGCTCCCAGGACATCAGAGAACCTCTGCTCGCAGAAATGCAGCAGCACCACCAGATAGAGACCGCTGCTGATGAACTCATCATATTCTGACTGCAGAGCAGAGAAAAAGCCCTCTTAGCACACTGTCCAGTTCAAGAAACTCAAACATAAAATTGCCTTGGTAAGGTCTTTGTAACTCCACTGGAGGGGTGAACAGCTTCTTTTAAAAGACTTTTCCTCATTTGGTTTTCTGATTCAAAATGTCCTGTAGATGTTCATTTGGGTTGAGATCTGGTGACAGCGAAACACCATGGCATAGGACTCACATACTCATACTCAAACCTCTCAGTGTTTCACTCACTTACTCTGATTTTTCCTTTAATTTTCATCCATCTATATATATATGCAACTAACATGGTTTTGATCCATCAAAATTACACATCATACAATTCCTCTCGAGTATACCACACTTTATAGTTCAGTTAGTTGTGTTCTTTATGAAAATCCCCATATGTAAAATTAATCAGCCTAAGGAAATGTGAGTTCATTCATTTTTTGTTTTAATTATGTATAATCTGAGCTCGGTTCATTTCTACTCTCATACCAAGGAAAGTGAAATGACTCACTTGCACATGTGTCCTGTACAGCTCCTGAATGTCAAAGTTGTCTATGTTTAAGCGCAGCTTCTCCTTGCAGAGTTCACATGTTGTGATGGCCTCAAGGTTTGTGCCTGAGAGAAAAAAAAATGTTAAGGAAAAGGAAAAAGTCATTGACTTTGTTGACAAAATATAGTGCTGTTGGGCGCCGCAGCCATATCAGAGGTCTGTATTTACCTGAGCCGATTTTGGAGCGAAGCCACCTCTTGATGCATTCCTGGTGGACGTATTGGAGGCTGCCTGTACAGCGGCAAGGCTGAATCAAGGGGTTTGATGCTGATTCCTCCCCCATCTGGCAGATACGGCACAGGTCGCCTTCTTCCTCATCAGAATCCTCTAGAAGCAGTCTGCAGCAGGATAAGAAGATAGTTAGTTCTACTGTTGCTTAAGTACCAATTTAAAAAAAATTTTTTTTTAAAACATCTCATGTTTCATATATATAAACACCTTAAATTTAAGAATGTGGCTATTATAACCTAATAACTGCATATATAAATCTTAAAAAAAGAAATACAAAAAACTACATTGAGGGAATTATAGAAAATACAGAACTTCCTGCCTCAAACACAATATTAATATCAGTTTCATCTTTGTGCATTCGTTACTAATATACTATCAGTCCAGGATGTGTTTTGTCTTAATTACTGATTTTCAGTCAAACCCAAGAGGCACTGCTAGAGAATTTATGTAATGTAAAATAATATTGGACAAATTATACGGTCATGGATTATAAAGAGACAGTTATTCATTATTTTATTGTCGGCTCAGATCATTCTACAATATGTGCATTTGTATTTAAAAAAAGGTGCACCCTGATAAAAAATGATATTTGTTAGAATCCAAAGTGAGCAAAATTGCAAAAGCTATTTTGACTATGTCTCTTGAAAAGACAAACTGTATAATGTCCCAGGTGTATTTCTAAATTTGCAGTTAGTGTCATATAGTTAACTGGCCTGGAAGAGTCCCAGAATCTGTTGTTTTCTATTAAATGTTAAATACACAAGATACAACATGTAAATGAGACTGTTTTAGGTTTTGGAAGGCGCCTCTAACTGAGCAAGGCTAAGCTAGCTTCAATACATCACACAGACTACGTATCACTATACAAGAAAATACTAAATAAACTGATATTCATACTGTCCTGTCATAACTCCTGTACTGTAAAAGCAATCAAACACATTTCCTAAATTCCTTATATATTACTAAATATTTACTAGTTTTCTAAAAAGGTCAAGAGGTAATAAATGCAAATTGTGTGGGAGATCAAAATCCATTACCTCTCCTTGATCTTGCGCAGCTTTTCTTGATCCCTACTGGAAATGGGCTTTTCCCTCTGAATGTCCAGCTGGCTCTCAACACCACTCAATGGACCCCTAGTAACTGAAATGTTTTCATATAGTGCCATTCTGTGGCGTGGCGAAAATTCAACTGAGGCATCTTCAAGTTCAGGTAATGTTTCATCCTCCAGTCTGCAGGGATGACCTGCTCCAAAGGCCTCTAAACCAACTGCTCCTTCCTCTTCTTCATTCTCCTCATCCTCATCTTCATCCTCGTCCTCATCATCCTCATCATCATCATCATCATCTTCCTGTGATGCTTTATGCTCAAGGTTGTCCCACCTTCTCAGTAAATGCTGTGGATGGCTGAAGCCTTCTTCTAAGCCTGCGGCTGAGTGTGCACTCTCATTCTCCCTTGCATGTCTTCTGAGGCGAGCGAGTAGTGGAGGGCAGCGGCCTCGGAGAGAGGAGGAAAGCCAGGAGGAGCTGCCGCCTGCTCCACTGCTGCTGGTGTTACTACTGCCAACACCAGGCTCTCTCCATGATGCCATTCTGGACCTAGCCAGGCCGCTACGATAGCCATCACTGTTGTTTTCCTGGATAGGGGCGAGGTCTGCTCTACGATTCCTGAGGCTACCCAAGGTCGTCTCTGACCCTCCAGCGTCAGGGTCCAGACTAGACATCCTGGCTCCCTCATCACTGTCCACAGACTCTCCACCAGTTGACGGACTGTCATCGTCAAGCGAGCGAACACTGGAAGAGCCACTAGAAGAGTCTTGGCTGGAGCGCCGCGAAAATAGACGGGACAAAAGCCGTCGCGTGGAGCGACGACCCTCTGGCTCACCGCCTTCGGGGGCCGGCCTTGGAGGGAGTGTCGCCTGTGGTCTGGCCAGGGGAGTGGTGTACAAGGGGGTGTAAGAGGAGTAAGAGGAGGAGATATCTGAGGGAGATTCAGGGTTTCCTGTTTGTTCCTGAGATGAGTGGAGGGTGGATGAGCCGTAACGGGTTGTGGTTCTGCTGCTGAAGTCGCGCACCAGAGGAGAAGACCGGTGCGAGGTGGAGGATGAGAGGTGGCGATTTAGGGAGCTTTCTCTGGCAGCGGAGGAGGAAGAGGAGGATGAGTAAGCAGACTCTTTAGGCCGAGCTCCCTGTGCATATGTGGAGGTCACCCTGTCTGTCTGATCTGAAATGAGGGGAGAGAAGAGACTGTAACAATGCATTTAGACAGGTTGCGTACTCTGCATGTGTGTCTACATCACAAAATATTCATACATAAGGAGGAAGCCACTCCAGGCGTCCTGATTCTTCCATTTCCCAAACTTGAAAGACTGGGCTCGTTCTTTGTCTCCTGCTCTCTCCTGGACAACAACGGCTTTGAGGAGGAGGATGATGACGACCGTGAGAGAAAACGGCATGAGCTCCATGACGAATCGAACGTGTCATTTTGTTTTTCACTTATACCTGTTCAAAAAAAACAAAAATTAAGATCAGAAAAACTATTTTGACATTTGCTGGGTTCATTTTCCAAATCAGATTAATAAAATATTCATCTGATTAATATCAGAATTTAACTTATTTTCATCAAACTTAATATGAATACCAACTTAAATCTACTGCTGACAAAGACCATGTGCTTCAGCTTTCACTACTACCCATTCCCAAGTTACAGCACATTTAGTATCTAGAAATGTTTGTAAGTTCTACTTAGCTTAGCCTAGCTGTAGCATGTACTTACTGAGCAGAGATATATGTATCACTAAATTCAACCCGGTTGCACCACACAAACTAGTTCTTACACAGAGATTAGCTGTTATTTAATGTTTACACCCTAGTTAATTGCCAGGTGTAACTGCTGTCTATCTAACTGAACCAACTGATAAAGCTAACATTAGCTTGCTAACATATAAAAATAATATTAGTACAACCACAGAACCAGTTTTCCTTATGACCTCCACACGTCTGGTATTACGTACCTCTGCCACTGCTTAGCCCACTGCTGGAATAGGTGGATCCTGTAACTGAGGTGCTGGGCGTCCTTGAGTACAGACCTCTGTTGCTGTATGACAGTTTGGCCCTTTTAGAATCACCATCATCACTGGCGTTCAACAAACCTGAGCGCATCCCCAACCTCCCCTCAGAATCAGTCTGGGAAAAAGAAGGCAGACATAAAAAAAACAAAAAAACAAATATATAAATATGTTTTAATGGCACCGATATTCCTCTAACCTCTATCATATATTGTTTTCTGTTTTATTTGATCAGACTGTATTTTGCCTGCTACAAACAAATGACAGAGTACAGCTTCAGTACCAGTTTGCTCCTGCTGCTCAGAGAGGATTCAACCCACGGGCGATCATAAGATCTGCTGGAGGACGTCAGAGAAGTGGGTAACTTCCAGCTGGTGGAGCGACTGTCAGAGCTGCTGTAGTCTCTGGATGAGCTCAGGAGACGAGAGTTCTTGAAAAGGAGAGAAGGTAAAACATGTAGCATTAGTTAGTACTTGTCTGACCAAATGCATATTACAAAAAAAAAAGAAAAAAGAAAAAAAAGAAATACTGTTCAAGTTATTTTTCTCATCTTTTAGTGATGGGAGAATCACACAGGCACTAGTGGCGCTATGGAGCAATGTTTTGATAAGTGATTCCCCACTTTGTGTGAATCTCATCCTCAGCTAACACAGGCACAAGCACGTGGGTGATGTGATACATGTTCCTGCCAACAGTTTCACGCTGTCTTTGGTGGTTGCAGACAAAACAAGATGCAACCTTGGGAAATTATAACAGACATTCATTTACTGTCATTTTGTAGACATGATTGATTATGATTAATTGATTGATCAAATAAATAATTGGTAGAGTTGATGTCAATAGAGAGATAAACAATAGGTTTTAAAAGGTTGGTGTGATTTCTCTCATATAACTATTTTAATTGGATAGATTAATATATATCCACAATAAATAAAATCATGGAAGGTGAGTGGATTGTTTGGTCTTTGCACCTAGCTTGGACTCTTCTGGAAAGACCAGGAACAACCATACAGATCCCAGGCAAACAGTAACACTATCTTTTGAGTCAGGCCTTGACGAGCAGCAGGACTGAAATACACACATCGTGTGCCAAGGAATCTAGGCTGCCCTAAAAAAAGACCTTCAAAGTGTCTGCTGTTGCACCACTGATACACATAGTTAGCTACTGTACCATGGTCCTAAGGGAACCTGTCAGAAAAAAAAGCTTACTTGAATGCCCTCTCAGGAATACAGTAGAAAGGCACATGACTAAAGTCCCAAGTGGAATAGATACACAGAAACAGTAGGATAACATAGTTCCTGTTCCTGACCGTTTAATCCAACTTAAAGTAACTTAAAAAAAAAATATTCCCCAACATCATCACTGTAAAAGGCCTTTGTAAATTTGGGCTGAATAAGATGAAGCTGTTTATGATGACAGCTAAAAACTTAACACGTATCAAAAAAACTAAAGTGAACATAAGGTGAAACTAGAAGCATTTGCGGTCAATTTGAATTATATATGCTGCAGGTAAATTCATAACAAGGGTTTCACACTGTGTATAAAATGGCAATGCTATGTATCAATCCTAGTCTTTAGGCATTTCTGTGCAACAAGCCTGCAGGCTGTGCCATCAGCCTACCTGTTGCTCCAGATCTGTTTTGTAAGCTGATGACGCCCTTGGGAAGCGGTCATTATTCAGCACCGTCTCTCGACCGTATAACCTACTGGAGCCCAGAGATGAGGAGGAGACTGTTGGACTGGATGTGTAGGACGACCTTGAGCCGGACAGACAAAAGGGAAGTCTCCGAGACCTGGAGTCCATCATGGATTTCCTTGAACCTTGTGAGATGAAACCCAAAGATATAACTTCAGAACAAAACGTAACATTATCTGAGATCACAGCCTAATGTAACATATTGCAGAGGCGTGATATCAGGAAGTTTACTTGCTTTTAAATGCAGCCGTTATTTCACATCTAGTGACAAGACAGGGCAGGTCTAGCAGCACAGACTTTTAAAAGGGCCTGCAACCTCTCATTCTGTTAAATAACAAGGCTTGGTGCTCTGGTGCGCTAGCACTTCTGATTTGTTATTGGAGCACACGTGACAGTGTCTGTAAACACTAAAACCTGCTCCATGCTGCTTCCTGGTCTTGGTATCAAAGTCACAGTGCCTATCTTTGGGACCATGAACTCTGTCACATGAACATGACACTACCAAAGAGCAAACAGCAGCACTGTGTGCTGAGCATTTAAACATGCTAGATGCTTTTTTACCAGTTATAAGATACAAAGATCATTTATTATTAAGCTACATTACTAAATCTAACACACATTCTCAGATTTTAAGTAACCTCAAGTGCTAGTTGATGTATCAGCTGAAAGTCAAATATACCAGAGGACCTGAAAAGGAGAGTTGAGAGTTTCTGACATAAGGTGGTACAGTTTGAGTTACTCCCTGGTAGTGATATGGATCCATGGACATTAGCTACAGCACCTGTGGTCAAAGATAGCTCAGCAAGTCAGCAGCCTGTCAGACCGAAATGAACAGCAGTAAATAAGGCCAGATAACAAAAACCTTTTTAACCCTAACACAGCACTCAAACCTTTTAAGCACCCACAACAGAACACAAGAAGTTCAGGGAAACACAACGGGTTTATTATTAAACAACGAACATAGACAATTTCATGGAACAAAAGTCTTTAGAGGACAATGAAAATACAAGATATGCACTAAACATTTTGCATATGGTGTTTACAGACGTGTTGCTGTGGTTCACTACTAGCATGTGGGTCTATGCAACAATTTGAAGGTGTCATGTGACCTTGGATAAATACATCTGGTCTGATATGGTGTAGATGGGAAAAGGCAGTGAAATCTGATTTTTTTTTTTTTTTTTAAGTAATTAATTTATACAGCTTTCACAAATATTAAAATCAATCAGATCAGATAATGGGATGTCTAACACATTTTAACAATAGTGCCCGGATTTTTTTTTTTTTTTTTTACATTTGTCATTTAAGTTTCCCCTAACTGGCGGAAGTTAACTCGTGCGTCTTACACTAACCTGGGCAAATGGCCAAGCATCACCACCGATTAGTAACCATATAGGTAAGTCAGAACCTTAATTCAAATTTTTTTTTAGTCTCAGCAGAGGCAGCTTAGCCTGAAATGAGAAGTCACTGGTTTAAAAAAATAACTTTGTCTTGTGTTTTCGACGTGAGCCATTATTTTGTTCGTCTTCTGTTAAATGATTGATAATTTGCAATTCATCTTCTCGCAACCAAATTGCAAACAAGGTAAAATGTTAGTCATCTTATTGACTTGCTGATTATCGAGCGTTAGATAAATTTGATTGTAATAATGAGTATTAACCTTAACCTAACGTTATTTCCGCGAACGTTTCCTGCTCGAAAACTAACATAACCGTTGTTTTGCCGAGGATACTGGGCAGCGTCTTACATTTCATATCCAACAGCCACAGAATAACGTGACCTGCTAACGTTAGCTAACAAATTAAAAAAGGCCGTTTTGAGTGTTTAGCATTTGCAAAGTTAACTGTCATTGAATATTGACCATCTCCTTGGCCACTGGCTGTTCAGATGCGCTAACGGAATAGTTCGGCTGTTGTTTCCCGACGACTGGGCAGAGCTGGCAAGTCAGTTAGCTGTAAGCTAACTAGCTGGTTAGCTTATCATCTGCACGCTGACGTTAAAAAGTCCTGAAAATTCACGTTAATAAGCAGCGCTAAGAAAAACGATGTGTAATTTTCGTTTGAAACAGTTTCAGCAACAAGTGACAAATTAACGAGACTAAATCCATAACATATTAATGCATTGTCAGCACGTATCCTCACCTTTGATTTGAGTCTTTCTTGCTTTAGCACAACAGGAACTATGGCGGCTGTGGTGACTGCTGTTGACACAGAGGATCAGCTGATTTGCAATGACCCGGTGGGAGTGGTTTACAAGAAGATTGATTTCAGGTGCTTAATTATCCTTAGGCACATGGTTCATCCACGTTTTTTTTTTTTGTTTTTTTTTTTGAGTAAATTTTGAGCCCGAGAATAATAGACACATTTATGAAAAAATCACTCCGACTTTATCTCTGTCACCACAAAAATTTCCAGTCAAAGCCAAACAGCGTCTCCATGTGGCTCAAACAAGAGATCCAATCATATTTTATTTTAAGGAGAGTAATTCCATCACCACTGTATATGAGTTATGTCAGTACAAGCGCACAGAACGTGGCCCCTTCAATACAATTAAGCTCTGGAATAATGTGACTATAACTATCTTCACAAATGATCAATGGAAGTCTGCTACCTTCCTAAAATAATGTCACATATACAGTATAGGTGCAAAAGGCAAGGATCTTTCAAAAATATTGCCATGCATTGTTTTTATTTATCAATTAACGTCACACAATGCAGTAAAATGAAAATAACGTATATTTTCTCTGTGTTTATGCTGCCTATGTGTCTTCCCTCTCTTCATGTAATCCCAGACAGACTCCATGATGTCGAGATCAAGGCTCTGTTGGGGCTATACCATCTGTTGCAGGACTCCTTGTTCTTCTTTTCACTGAAGAGTTGAGTCCAGGTATGAAACTTAAGTGATTTGCAACATCTGTGAACTGAGGTATGTAAAAAGTCACAACAAGCCAGCATTATTAACAGCATTAGAGATGTGTATTTCATGTTGAAAGTGCTGTATGTGCCATGGTTTGTAGCGTCATTAGATTTTGAGTTTGAGATACTAGCAAAGGCTGCACCTGAAGCAGCCCAAAACATCAGCCAGGGAATCCAGGTGGAAATAAAATATGCCATTTGGGATTTAAAGTCATTGTGTAGTTGGCTGTCTGTAACTATCTGACCTTGTGTACTATATAAGGATGCAGTTCCCCCTCTGAAATGATCATTCAGACATTTCATTTCCTTTCATTTTACATTGTATTTTACATTTAATGCTACTTTATATTCCTACTTGGCAACATTTCACAGGGAAGTATTGCTTTTTATTCCTCTGCATTTATTTTACAACTGGTTAAAGTTACTCCGCAGATTAAGATTTACATCCTAAATATACAAAGATCAATACACATCAACAACAAACACAAAATATCAATCAATATTAAAATGCAGTTTAAATATCTGCAACAGTAAGAAAAATTCAATGTGAAAATATCATAACATCATGTAAATGGGTCATTTTGCAGTCATGAATAATTAGCACTTTTCACTTCTGATATTTCCATACATGTTGCTGATAATACTTCTACATTATCTTAAGTAAAGTCATAATTGACATTTACTTGTAATTAAGTGTTTTACAGTGTGATACAGCAATGAGATCTTCTTTCCATCATTGTTTGACATCTAATTATGATGATTATGGCCGATTGATAAACCAGACACTAGTCAACTTCCAAATGTGAGGGGCAGCCAAGACATGAGGAAAAATAATGAAGTCCAGGACACGTGTAATATATGACTTTGAATTTAGTAGATAGAATGAGAATAGAGAGGGTGTAGCAATTTATACAATTCATGTGATGAAGGAGTATATTAGCCATCATGATATGGGAAGAGAGGCAGCAAAAATTGTGTTATCTGCCATTAAAATGTTGAATAAATTCCTTAAAACATCAGAATTGTAGCAGTTTTAAATTGAATGTATTTGCTTGGATTTTAATGTCACTTTTTTTATTAGATTCAGGTTTCAATTATGTTTTATGTAAAATACCTCACTCAAACCAGTCATTGGATTTTGACTAAACTGGGGCATGTGATGCATCATAGCATTCTGACATTTTCAGAAAACTGCCCCAAGGAAAAAATTGTAAATAAAAGTCAAAATTAATAAGTGAAGACCTTTCTTACAGCTACTTAGATGCTTTCCAGCAGCACTGAACAAATGCCAAACACATGACAAGACACATCTCATAATTTCTCAACTCCTCCTAAAGACAAAGGATTTAGAGAGGAGTGATAACATCATCCACGGAAAACACTGTGAACTGTCTTTGTAGGGACTATTTCTTTGCCACAAGTTTTCTTTTTTTTAATGACAAATGTTCACACTTGTCTGTGGATTATTTGTGAACTGACTAAAATAACTTTGTTTCTGGAAAAAGTTGTTGCTTTTTTAAAAATTTGACTCTTTGATGCTTTTACCAGCACGAATGAAATTACATCCATTATTGGGATGGATGCAGAAATCTCAGAAATGGCTATCTCAAATCCTGGGCAAGTAAAACCAAAAGTTCAACAACATTATTTTTAGAATTTTGGGTAAACCTACCCTTTAACAGTTTAGACAGCAAATCATATCAGTAATCTAACATATTGGAGTTGAAATGTAATGGTCATTGTAAATAAGTAAATGCATGGGTCAATCATCATTACAAGTTCTGTAGTTTAATAATTCAATTAAATTTTTTATTTAACTTGCTAATTGATTGTGCATGAAGGTGACAGTCATAGGGTTGACTGCATGTAAACAGACCACTGCAGCCTGGCATGACACTTCTGACTGCAGCTGCAAACTTTACTGACAGATATTGTAAAAGAAACAAAATGACAATAGTAAAGATGTAACAAAGACTCAGTCCTCAAAAGGCCATTAATTCCAAAAAGGAGCATTTATTTTCTTTTTCTCTAAATATAGACATTGTGTATACAAAATGGTATGGTTCATCAGCATGCACCTGTTAAATTGTAATATAGTGTATGCTGATGCTGCTGTTGCTCGTTTTTTCATTTGCTGCACTTGTTAATACTGTTGCTGTTGATGATGATCTCAGTTCACTTGACAATTATCAGAATCTGGGTCATCTGCAACAAAGGTAGCGCGCACACACACACACACACACACACACACACACACACACACATATACACACACACACACACACACACACACACACGCACACACACGGTGTATACACAGTATTGTCCAGGGGTGACGTCATTATGAAAGGAGAGAGGAAGCTAATAGCCACTAAGAGGCACTGTAGTTCACACTTTTCTCCCAACATCCTTGGAGGACGCAGTAGAGATTCACTATTATTTGCATGCCAGAACTTGGTGGTGTTTGTTTAGTCAGGGAGGCAATTAAAGCCAATTTCAACAGGTTTAATTAGATTGATTTGAATAATTGTTTTTGAAAGGCACCGTAGATCCCATCATCACAGTAAATCCAGGATTAGGAGCATTCATTTGATTTGCATTCTTTAACTCAACATCTAATTTAGTAGACCTCAGGAAGCATTGATCACAGATAAGTCTGAACACATACTTTTTTTTTTAAAATTCATTTTGTTTTCATGTTGCAGATCTAGGCATTATTATGTTCTTTTCTACTGACTGAAATTAATTTACCATCTAAAACTGTAACACACTGAATTCATGTTAAGTGTGTGTGGGTCCAGGAAGGTCAGTTTGGAGCGGAGAGGGAGCACTGTTACACAGCAGATGCATAATAATGTGAAGGTCAACAAGATTCTCATCATGCTTGGTAAAATGTAGCACTTAACAGGCCCAGCGATCCATTATTAGTCGCATTCATACAACAGTGAACAGTGATCAAACCAAGTGTAAATCTACCCAAGGCTAACGGAACAAGAGGTGAAGGAGAAACAGAGAGAGAAAGGGATAAATATAGGAGGGCGGTGCTGCAGATTAATTGCTGACAAAAAGGACACATGACCTAGACAAATGAGGAAGTGCAAGGTCTGGTGAGTTGGGGAGGAGGCTGCTCAACCCACTTGTGGGTCTGTAGGCCAATGCCACTGCCCCCCCCCCCCCCCCCTTCAGACACATGATTCTGCACACTGCTACGTGAAGAGGGACTACAAGCTCTCCTCCCCCAGTGCTGCTGATGGGACGATAATGGAGCATTCCTTGGGGTTGTTTCTCATTCATGCTAGCTGTGACAAGGGAGGAACATGCTTTTTTTTCCACTGGGGGGGCTGTTTACTGTCTCAGCTAAGAATATGGACATGTAACCTGAGATTTGCACACAGTGCCGTCCTCTCACTCAAATTCTCTTATTTATGTGCTGTGGATATGAGATGGATACGTACCTGTCTCTCTGAGCTGTTGTTCATTTATTCCAGCTGCTGGATTTCTCTCTCGGGTTTCAGCTGGACTGTGCTCATCAAAATCAAATTGCTTGGGGAAAATCACTCAGAAACAATATTTGCAATATAACAATGTTTAAGGCCATCTATAGGAATACAGTGGTGTTTATGTTGACACTCTGCTCACTAAATTGACTTTAACTCGAGCCTTAAGACACAGAAAAAACTGCAAGAATGTCTGGATTTGTCCAGCACTGTGTAATCACAAAGGAATGTCCTGAGACATTTCTGCTTTTCCTCTACAAGACCCCTCTTTTCCCACGGCTTGTCCAGGTCTTGAGAATCTGTTTCCTCTTGCTCTCTCTCCCTCCCTCTGTCTCCCTTCCTCCCTCTCTCTGTTTGTGGAGACACATGAATACCACAAAGGCTGGTTTATAGGAGGACTACAATACAAGCTCAGTGTCTTCAGGAGCACAAAGAGCAAGAGTCTATGCCCTCTGAGAAACCTCTAGGAAGGAACATCCAGGCAAAGGTTGTGAGTTATTTCCAGTGTAAATCAAACAGAAGATTCGTGGAAACAAACACGCAACACAGCAGAGTTGAGTGAACGAAGCACATACATAAGCACATGTTGTTGTCCCAGGGGAATTTTATTATGTTGTGTTGCTTTCAGAAATCTTCCTACCAAGAGATGACAACTGTGTAGAACAACAAACTGCAGGCTAAATGCGGCCAAAGATTTGTGTTGTGCGCTTACAGTGCAGTATTTCCGCTGATGATGATCTCACGGCAACTTGGGGACAGGCGTTTTTATA